AGGCTTATTGGTGATTTTTCTAACTATCCCGAGAGCTGACTCTGATCTCATCTCTCTTTCCCCGTCAGTTCTCTGCACTCTCTCCCCACCCACGTTCCCCGGGAGAATTCCTCTGATGGTTAGTTTCACGTGTCACCCCGGCCAGCCTCTGGTACCCAGGGATTGGATCAGACTCAGATGTTTCTGTGAAGTTATTCTGTAGACGTGGCCAACAGCTAACGTCAGCCTGCTTTTTTTTCCCCCTCCACGCTACACAGCTTGTGGGATGTTAGTTCCAACATTGGGGTTCGAATCCGTGTCCCCTTGCAGTGGCATTGCAGAGCCTTAACCACTGGCCCTCCAGGGAAGTCCGTCAGGGAAGGTCCTTCCCGCCGCCAGCAGCACCCTGAGCTACCTGGCCTACCCCTTCAGCCTCATCTCTGGCCCTGCCTCTCTCAGTCAGCTTATTGCCAATAAACTGCTGTGTAGTAATGAGTCACACCTCCATCCAGGGGCTTTGCTGTTGAGTCGCTCAGGCCTGTCCGACTCTCTGTGACCCCATGGACTGCAGCATGCCAGGCCTCCCTGTCCTTCACCATCTCCCAGATTTGCTCAAACTCACGTCCATTGAGTCGGTGATGGCATCCAACCATCTCATCTCTGTCGTCCCCTTCTCCTCCTGCCCTCAATCTTTCCCAGCATCAGGGTCTTTTCCAGTGAGTCGGTTCTTCACACCAGTGACTTGCTCCTGGTTTATGCAATTCCTACTGAAGCCCTAAAGCACACCACATAAGCAGTGCTACTGTTCTGAGTTCAGAATGCCGTGAGGAGGCCCAAGCGGGCCACACGGAGGTGTCTGACCAGTCCCAGCAGCCACTACGGGGAGAAGAGGCAGGCCCCAGACGTTCGGGCCAACTGAGTCAGCCCAGCCGCCCCCCGCCCTTCACACGCGCCCCTCCGTGCAGTCCACCGTGGGGCGGAGATGCTGCCCTCCCTTTGTGCCCCATTTTCTACTCATAGACCATTTTCTCTGACAAGCATGACATAATGAGCATAATAAAATGTTTTTCTTCATGATACTTCCACACCATGTACTTGAATAGAAAGGTCCTTTCTTGTATTGGATTAATTCCCACTTTTTTAACAGGAGGAAAAAAAGCTTTTTAGTGATTAGGAAAAACTGCTTGTCTTCTGAGCTTCCTCCCATAAACCTATGTGGTTTATGGAATGTGTAAGAGATGTTTTTTAAATCTTCAAATGTAAAATTAAACCAGAAAAAAAAGAAAAAAAGACTTGGTGGCTTAAGAGAACAATCCTTTAATCTCATGCTCCTTGAGGCCCAGGCTGGGAGGGGCACTGGGTGTATTCTTACCAAACAGAGCTGGAAGCTTCCAGAAGGATGGAGGAAACCCACAATGCCTGTGGGGGTCTAAAAACAAAATAAAAATTTGAAGGGTAAAGAGAGCAGGTCCAGCAGAGACAGTGAAGCTGGAAGGTGTAAAACAGGAGTATGGGCTTAAGAAACACAAGTTACTATGTATAAAATAAGCTACAAGCACATATTGTGCTAAATACAAAATATAGCTAATATTTTATACTAACTGGAATATATATATTCCGATATACTAAATGGAATATAATCTTCAAAAATCGTGCATCACTATGCTGTCTACCTGAAACATAATATTGTACAGCGACTATACTTGAATTTAATAATAAAAGCAGGTGTTACAGTTTAATGGGCAGCCTTGGGAGTACATAAAGTAATATGGTGTCTCACAGGAAGTTGTGATTCCGGTGACATACATTTGTCATGTCATACATGATTGTACGTTCACACGTTTCTCTACGTTCCCAACGATCTAAAAATGAGCTTGTGCCCACTTCTCTAATAGACAAGTGAATAATTTACAAAGGTTCACCCTATGAAGAGAATAATTTAGGAAGTCTAATTCTATAGAGAAGTGCTTTACAGTAATGGCAGGCCAATAATGACTCCTATTTCAAGCTCTCTACTATAATCATTTGCCCACGTCAATGAGTTTTTCACTTTCTCTGCTCTGAGCTGGGACTACAGTAATCGTCTGAGACAAATGACTTCCATTGCTTAATGATGAACTGTGGCTTGCAAACCACAGTGCTGTGTGACCTGGGGTGACTGACTTAGCCTCTCTGATCCTCAGTCTTTTGAGGCTCTGCGGACTCCGCCCCCTCCTTAAGGAGGCGGGGTCCCGCCCCCATTTGCCGGCCCCGCCCTCCTCGGGCTACAGGAGAGGCTGAGAGACTTCATCCCACCGCGTGCTGACGCAGGGCCTTCTGGGAATGGTAGTTTCAGTGACGCCGGCACGGGGGCGGGGGGCTCAGTCGCTGTGTGGACGCAGCGCGGCGCCTTCTGGGAGTTGTAGTTCTTGGCAGCCCCGAGCGGGCCGCAGCTCTCCCGGCGCGCGGGCACACTGCGGGTCGGCCCGGCGCTTGGGCCCGACTGTGGAGGCTGCTGCCTTGTCCCGTGAGGCCTGCATGTCCGCGCCACCGCGGGACGAGGGTCCGCAGGGGGTCCGCGTGGACCAGGTAGGGCTAGAGACGGCGGAGAAACTGACCCGAACCCGCCAGGCTTGGCGGGAGCCGCCCGAGGCCTTCGAAGCTGGCCCTGAGGCGAGGGCGCCGGGGGTGGTGTGCGCATGTGTGGGTGTTGTGCGCGCGTCCCTGTGTGTGTCCGTGTGTTCCCGGGACGTCCTCACCTGCCCCGCGTGCCTCTCCAGTTTGTCCCGGTGCGGACGTGTATCTGCGTGTGTCACCGTGCATGTGAGCCCGCCTGTCACACCGGAACTTGGTGCCCATGCACCTGTGCGTGTGACTTCGTGAATCCGTCCCCAAGGGTCACCGTCGGTTTGCACGTGCCTGACCCTCGCGGCCTCTGCCCGAGAATTCGAGCACTTGGGGACGTCGGTCTTGTGTGGAATTTGTTCTCCTGGGTAGGTGTGAGGTATATAATTCCACAGTTCCTGGGTGTGCACCTGTGCGGGAAGGCTCCGCAGGTGTGTCTGCCAGCCTGGAGCCGCATGGTCTGCGTGTGTCTGAACATGCTTGCGTGTGGAGGGCCGTGCCTGGGGTGTTTATGAGAGACCTCAGGAGTGTGAAGTTGTGTTTGTGTATGTGTGCGCGTGGGGGAGACCCCGCACACCTGTGACTCTGGGCCTGTGTGAAGCGCGGCCCACCGCATGACTCTGCATGTGATGGCTGTGCCACTGCAGGTGCTGTCCCAGGCGGGGCCTGCCTGTTGGGCAGCCGCCACGTGTGACTCACCGTGTGTGTAGCCGTGTGTGTGCGTGGGCAAGTGTGACTGCAGGAGCACTTGGAGTTGTGCACGTGTGTGAGGTGGCCGGCCTCCTTGTCACCCACAGCCCATGGGTGTGTAAGGGCATCCGAGTGCCAAGGGGAGGGATGGTGTTAACCGCCTCCTCCCCCAGTATGGTCGCGTGCCACCCCAGTGTATGTGGGTGATGTGACTGCCTCTGAGCATGTCTGTGTCTCCCTTCGGTTGCCTGTTTGTGTACCTGCCCGGCCCAGGTCCGCCCCACCCCGACTCCACCTCGGTCCCAGCACGCACATGGAGGGGACACCCTGTGTCCTGCGTCTGCCTGGGCGTCTGCCTTCACGGCCCTGCTGCTTTCTCACACAGACGTCAGCTGGACCCACGCAGGAGGCACGTGTAGCTGGGACAGGCGCCAGAGCCCAAGAGATGTGGACAGGACGCGGTGCTCCCGAACCCACGAGGTGGGTATCACCGCCTGCCCTGGGGACCCAGCCAGGCCCCGCTTACACCTGAGGGCTGTCAGAGGGGTGACCCCCACACTGGGACCAGCCCAGCCTGGCTCCCGTCGGCAGAGTTCTCACCCTGCACAAAGATCCTGCGTCACCTGCCCTCACACGTCAGAGAGTCTCCCTGCTCTCTGCCCGGGTCACACTTCTCCAGCCCCTTTCCGTTTCCTCTGTCACCCTGGTTGTGGTCCCACCTTAGGCCCTTTGTACTGGCGGTGCTCACAGCCCGGAATGCTCACTCCATCACTTCCTCCGTGAGGCCTGCACTGGGGGACGAGCCTTCCATTCAGATGGAACGCCAGTGCGAAGGCCCGTGGCAGGAGCATGCCTGGAGTCATTTGTGGAACAGGGAGGAGGCCTTCGACTGGAGAAGGGCAAGCTCAGAACAGGGGAGGGTGGGGTAGAGGCTGAGGTTGGGGGGCTGCTGTGCAGACAACGGAGAGGAGAAAGGCTTTCATGGAGCCATTGGTGACTTTAAGTGGAGGGGAGAGAGGAAGGGGGAAAGCTCTGGAGCTCCGCAGCCTCAGTGTGGGCCCTGGCGTCTCTGCTTCCAGGAGCCTCACTGTGGAATAAAAGAGCACACATGTGGCAAGAGCTTAAAGCAGCAGGCCCCAGCCTTTTTGGCACCAGGGACCGGTTTCACGGAAGACAGTTTCATCCAAGGCTCAAGCCCAGGGGGCAGACACACGGCCCTCTGGATCCAGGGTCTTTCAGGGAAGGGTGTGTTCAGAGGGTGATGCCAGGAGAAACCCATCACCCCCAGAATGGCCCCCCACTCGGCCCGCCCGCCCCAGGGGGTGCCCCTAGTACACACGTGAGCACGTTCGCACGCACCGGCAGTGAGGGCTTCAGTATGCATTTTGCATGGACGCAGTTGAACCCTTAGCAGCAGGGTTTAGACACGTTTTTGGTTGTCGCTCCTGGGGGGAGTGGGGGTGCTGCTGGCATCAGAGAGGCCCGAGATCCTGTTCCATGTCCTGTTGAATAGAATGCACGGGGTGGCCCCAGGACAAAGAACGGTCTGGCCAGTAGATAGCCCCCGCGCTGACCCTTTCCCGGCCTGAGACAGGTGACAGACCGGTTTGGTTCTCCGTTGTCTTTCCTTCCTTCTTTCTCTCTCCCTCCGTCCTCCCGCCCCTCCTCCTCCCCTACTTTTCCCGTAACAAAGATGTGAAATCGAGGCAGCAGCTCGGAAAGCCGGGATGGAAGCACTCCTGGAGGGCGCCGCTCCCCAGAGCTCCGAGTCAGGGGGAAACCCCAAACCCGAGGGTAGTTTCAAGGTCAGGCCGGAGAACCCGGAAAGCTGCCTGAAGCAGGAGGCCCGCAAGGAAGACCCCACCGGGGACAGGGTGCCCGAGCAGGATGAGCTAGCCGCCGGAACCCCCGAGACCAGCTGCAGCCCCCCGACTCCCCTCCAGAGGCACGGTGCCCCAAGAAAGCGCAGGACCCTGAAGAAGGCAGCCGCCAGCGTGGAGGCGGCGGCGGCGGCGGAGCGAGGGGGCGGCGGCCCCAGCAAGCCGTGGAAGTGTGGGGATTGCGGCAAGGCCTTCAGCTACTGCTCGGCCTTTACGCTGCACCAGAGGACGCACACCGGGGAGAAGCCGTTCCCCTGCGCGGACTGCGGCCGCGCCTTCAGCCAGAGCGCGCACCTGGCGCAGCACCGGCGCGTGCACACCGGCGAGCGGCCCTTCGCCTGCGCCGAGTGCGGCAAGGCCTTCAGCCAGGGCTCCTACCTGGCGGCGCACGGGCGCGTGCACACGGGCGAGCGGCCCCACCGCTGCGCCGACTGCGGCAAGGCTTTCGCGCGCCCCACGCACCTGGCGCAGCACCGGCGCGTGCACACCGGCGAGCGGCCCTTCGCGTGCGGCCAGTGCGCCAAGGCCTTCCGCAGCCGCTCGTCGCTGCGGGAGCACCAGCGCATCCACACAGGCGAGAAGCCCTTCGCCTGCGCGCGCTGCGACAAGGCCTTCCGCTTCTCGTCGGCGCTGCTCCGCCACCAGCGCACGCACACGGCCCAGCGGCCCTACGCGTGTGGCCAGTGCGCCAAGGCCTTCACGCAGGCCGCGCACCTGGCGCAGCACCGCGGCGTGCACACGGGCGAGAAGCCCTTCGCCTGCGCCGAGTGCGGCGCTCGCTTCAGCCAGAGCGCCTCGCTCACTGAGCACCGGCGCATCCACACGGGCGAGAAGCCCTTCGCCTGCGCGCAGTGCGGCAAGGCCTTCACTCAGGTGTCGCACCTGAGCCGCCACCGGCGCACTCACACCGGCGAGCGGCCCTACGCGTGCGGGGCCTGCGGCCGCGCCTTCAGCAACAGATCACATCTGGTGCAGCACCACCTGGCGCACACGGGCGCGCGGCCCTACAAGTGCCCCGAGTGCGGCGCCGCCTTCGGCCACGTGTCCTCCCTGCTCGAGCACCAGAAAGTGCACACGGGCGAGAAGCCCTTCCGCTGCGGCGACTGCGGCCGCGCCTTCAGCCACGGCTCGTCGCTGACGCTGCACCGCCGGACGCACACGGGAGAGCGGCCCTACGCCTGCCCCGAGTGTGGCAAGGCGTTCAGCAACCGCGCCTACCTGGTCCAGCACCACATCGTGCACACCGGCGAGAAGCCCTACGAGTGCGGTGGCTGCGGCAAGGCCTTCAGCTTCTCCTCCGCGCTCATCCGGCACCAGAAGACGCACGCCGCGGGCAAGAAGGCGGGGGGACTGCTCGGCCCCACGGCCGCAGCCTCCTCCACACCCGAGCTCCCGGCCGGAGGAGGAGCCTGCTGACCTGACAGCGGCGAGCCTGCAGAAGCCTCGGTGCTAGTGTGGTTGCTGTCAGCCGCTCAGGCGCGCCCGACTCTTGGCGACCCCGTGGACTGCAGCACGCCAGGCTTCCCTGTCCTTCAGTATCTCCCGGAGGTCGCAAACTCATGTCCACTGAGTCGGTGATGCTGTCTAATCATCTGATCCTCATCCTCTGTACATGGTATGATACATAACCTTGGTGGACCAGCCCACGAATGAAGGCTGAGGTCTACGGGGACCTCCTACAGGCGGGGGCTCACTGAACCTTCTCTACCTCGTGCTCAGGCTCTTGGCGCCGGCGAGGAGACATACCACCACCCCGGTGATGGCCGTGAGGAAAGCGAGTCTCTGAGAGGCTTCGTGAGGTTCTCTCCTCACTTGAGGCTGACATGCCAGTGCCAAGATCAAGCCCACATCTGCCAGTCTCCCTGGTTCAAAATCATAGAATTGTGTGTGTGTGTGGTCGCTTAGTCGTGTCCGACTCTTTGCGACCCCATGGACAGTAGCCTGCCAGGCTCCTCTGTCCATGGGAGTCTCCAGGCAAGAATACTGGAGTGGGTTGCCATTTCCTCCTCCAGGGGATCTTCCTGACCCAGGGATCAAACCCTCAACTCCTGCATTGCAGGCGAATGCTTTACAACTGAGCCACCAGGTAAGCCCATAAAAGGGTCAGCTAACTCAGATAAAGATAAGTGTTATGGACACTTATCTTAAAAGATATGGGGAAGTCATTCTGTCTTATATGTGAGTTAATTTTAATTTTACTCTAACTAAAATCCTCCAATACTTTGGCTACCTATTGCAAAGAACTGATTCATTGGAAAAGACCCTGATGCTGGGAAAGATTGAAGGCAGGAGGAGGAGGGGACGACAGAGGATGAGATGGTTGGATGGCATCACTGACTCAACGGACATGAGTTTGAGCAAGCTCCGGGAGTTGGTGATGGACAGGGAAGTCTGGCCTGCTGCACATGGGTTCGCAAAGAGTCTGACACGACTGAGCGACTGAACTGAACTAAAATAGCTTGTTTGCGGTGTATCAAATACACATTGTACATCTGCTTTAATTATACAAGGGCACATGGACCAGAAGTAAAGCATGTGCTGCCTCCCTTCCTGGGACGCCAGTGCTGGTATTGCATCACTGATACTTCCTTCCCAGGTGCCAAGGCCATACTGCCAAAGCATCATGTACGCATGGCGGTCCGTTTGTCTTGAAAACTTGAAGAAACATATCCCTGACTTGTTTAACGTTTTGTTCTGACAATACGTACAACTGCTGAAAACCATGTTTCTCTGGAGCAATTTCTCAGAATGATCTGGGAGGCTGTCTACTGGGTTGTAGTCCTCAGTTTGACTCAAATAAAACTCTTTTCTATTTTTATTACACAGTATTCATCGATTATTTTCATTGACAGGGAATTGGTGGTATTTACGAGGCTGGCCAGATCACTCCCAGGGGATGACAAGCGAATGAAAGAAAGGAGCCAACCCAGAGAGAAATTTGGGGAAAGACTGCTCTGGGGTCTGGCATTTGGAGGATGGGGCTGACAGATGAGGGATGCTCCTGTAACAGGAGAGGGGACCCACCTGAGGTCAAGGGGGAATGCAGACCGGACACCGAAGGCACACTGCTCCTCAGACACCCCATCACAATCACGTCTCGACCCTGCCCAGGCCCAGTATTGCCCGTCTGTTTGCGCGTCCCCCAATTCTGATGGGTGATACCCCGCAAGGACCACGCTACCTGCCCTGCACATCATATCATTTTCCGATCCCCAAGGCCCCGCCCCTCGCCGCAGGCTCCACCCCCTCTGCAACTGCGCCTGCGCGCTCCACGGCCGGCACGACTCCCAGAAGCCCTCGGGGTACGCAACCTGTACGCTCAGCCAGACCCGCGGCCTGTGCGGGCAGCCGCGGGCCGGAAGGGCCGGGAGCGGCTGACCCGGGGCGGGGCTGACGGGCGCTGGCCTCGCCGCCGCCCGAGCTACCCTTGGCGCCGCCGGCCGGGACTCCGTTTCCCAGAGGGCGCCGCGGCGGTGGACACGCCCCCTTCCGGCGGCGGCGCGCGGGGCCCGGCTCCCTGCGGGCCCGGCGGGGCGGTGGGCTCGGCTGCCGGCCGCGCGCTGGGCGGGGTGTGGCCGGCCGGCGGCGGGGCGTGCTCGGCGCCGACATGCGGGGGGCGGTGAGCGCGGGGCCCCGCGGGCTGGGGTCGCCGCCGCGGCGAGGCGCCCCCCGCACCAAGCCCAGGGCGGGCCGAGGCCGGAGCGCGGGGACCCCGGTCGCCTTCGCCCGCCCCGCCCGGGGAAGGCCGCGCTCAAGAAGTGGCCCCACGTCTAAGGGCCGGCGAGGAGCGGTGACCACGGCACCTGAGGACAGAGGTGAGGGTGGCGGGTGACCGGGCGAGCAGACGGAACGAACCCCTCCTCTCAGGGTGAGGGAGCGTGGGGTCTGGGGCAGGAGGCTTCCCGGGGCCCAGGTGCTGGTGAATGGCGTCCCTGGGCTGTGAGGGGTGGGGGACGGGCATCCAAAGCTTGGAAACTCAGCCTGAGAGCGTCGGTCAGGGTCACCCTCACCGGACACCCCTGTTTCAGTACTTCCAGAAACCCCGCTCCGCACCGTGCCTGCCCCTCGTAGGCTGGTGACCTTATTCCGGCTGCCCCTTCAAAATCGGTCCCTCTCCGCTCATGCTGGAGCATTTGACTCTCCACCTGTTGAATCCGTTTCGCATTTGTGGCCGTCGTTGAAGACTCAGCAGGAAGGGAGCCAAGTGGAGACCTTGCCTCTAGCTACTTCTTTCTCTTCCCCCAGCTCTGCCTTCCAGGGACACGGCCGCCCTCCGGGAGAGGAGGCCCAAGCAGGAGGCGGCAGGGACAGGAATTGAACTGCGAGCCACGTCCCAGGTGAGGGGGCTTTCCCTCTTCTCCTCTCTAAAAGACAAGCTTGCTTTTCAGGGCTTAATGACGTTTATTTTCTTGTAGAAGTTTTCAGTATAAGAGACCTGTCGGGGGAGCTGGTTCCCATTTGCCCACATTCTGGTGAGTGGTGGGCTACAGGGGCAGCCCAGGACCTCCCTCCCTGCCTCCTCTCCATGTCTTTTTCTGTTTGGTGGTCACTGAAGGACTGAGTCAGCCCCTCCCTAGAGCAGAAAGGTACTCCTCAGCACAGACAGGACAGCCCCTTGTGTTGAACCTGGTCTGTCTGATGTTCTCTTTGAGCCAACCCTTTGAGAGACAGATGGCTGAGCTCTGGCCCCTGCTCCCTGGGAGCTCACAGCCTGTTAGTGGAGAGTCGTGGAAGCATACAAGGTTCTGAGTGTGAGTTCTATCATGGTGCGAGTGGGCTGGAGGAACTCTTGGAGTCTTGGTGCCTGTCGGGGAAAGACAGGGAGGGGATCTCTGAGCCCCATGTTTCTTTTTTTCAATATTTTTCTTTGGCTGTGCTTAGGTCTTCATTGCAGCGTACGGACTCTCTCTAGTTACAGTGCAAGGGCTTCTCATGGTGACACGCGGGCTCTCTAGTTGCCCTGTGGGGTGTGGAAACTTCGTTCCCCCACCAGAGATCGAACCTGCGTCTCTTGCATTGCTAGGCGGATTCTTAAGCACTGGATCACCAGGGAAGTCCCAGGCCTCATGGTTTGCAGGAGGAGTGCGGCAAACAAGAGGGAAGGGCAGCCCTGGTGCAGTGTGTAAGGCTGTCTTTTCCTCGCTTGCTTGTGTTGCTTCTTAGAATGCTGATAAGTTGTCTCTGTCCGCTGAGTCTCCTACATGTCATCGCCAGCTCATCCATGTAGGAGCCCGGTTCAGTCGCCCAGTGAGCTCCATCCATACTGCCAAAGGCGGCGCTCAGGTCTTGGTCTTTCTTGACTGTTGTTGGCATCTGAGGTCATTCCGGGTTGGCAGGCTGTCACTGTAAAGGGCCAGTTAGTAAATATCCAGGCTCTGCAGGCTGTGAGGTCTCTGCTGCGGCTGCTGCCCTCTGCTTTCTAGAAGCAGCCACAGACCATACCTAAGTGATTGGGCGAGGCTGTGTTCCAGTGAAACTTGACTGACAGGAACGGGTAACAGTCAGCCCTGAGAGAGCTCACCGGGCCCTCCCCGCCTCCTGACTTCTCCGCCGTCACAGCTCTTCATCGTCCTCAGCTGCAGCTGTCGCCGGGCCTCCGGGCCCTGTCCTAGCCTCTCTGTTCTCGTCTGTCTGCCCGGCTTCTCCCGGTCCCCCTTTCCAGCCCCGTCCTCTCTCTGAGCTCCAGGCCTCGGTGTCCAGCTGTGTGTCCAGCAGGGAGCTCACAGCGGACACATCGAGCCCCAGGCTCCTGGGGTCCCCCCATAAACCAGCCCCTGCCCTTGTGTCTGTCCATCTGCGGCAGTTTCATGCCCCAGTTCCTTGGGCCAAAGCTGGCGTCATTCCTCGTCTCCTCTCCTGCCCTCACCTCCTGTATTTGGTTCATTGGCAAATCCTGTCATCGCTGTTTTCACGTGATGCGCACAGTCTGACAGCTGTCACCACCCCCGCACCACCACCTCTGTCCTCTTATCTTCAGCTCACGCCCCCCGTAGTCCCCACCCAGCGACGCAGCCAGAGACGTTTGTGCTGTCAAGGTCTGCTCAGACGCTCCTGTGGCTTCCCCTTCTCGGGCCTGACGGGCCCCCCTGCCACCTGGCCCTGCCTCTGACGTGGACCACACACCCCCATCACTGACTTTGCCTTCTCAAAAGTTGCCTTCTCCTTTTCCCGATTGCGCAGTCTAAAGCTTCAGAGCCTCCCACCCGAATTCCTCACATCCCTGCTTTACTTGCTAGAGACTCTTAGCACTTTTCAGCATTCCATATACTTCATTGATGTGCTTTTCTCTTGTCGGATTCTCTTACCAGAAAGCACATCTGACACAGGCAGGAGTTTTCAGTAGTTTTGCCCCAGTGCCTGATGCAGTAAGTATATGGTGGATGAATGTGTGAACGTAGTCTTATTAAAGTGCTCGTGGAAGCCAGTGTTTCACTATTTAATATAGTGTCACAATAGTAATTTTTATACGTAGAATATGCATTGTCTCTGATTATTTCCTCTAAGTATATTCCCAGAAGTTTTTCTTACCTTGTGGATTAAAGTTCACCAAACTTACATGAAAGCAAAATACTTTAAAAATTATATGTGGGTGAAGTGGCAGTATGGCCTCAAAAGCTAGAATTCTAGTTTTTACTTTTTTACTAAAGAAATAAATGTCACCAAAATAATTTATTACCAACTTTTCATTTGTGCACTTGAAAAATTACCTGAATTGAACAAAAAAAAACCCTCTTTAATGTATTTTTTCTATAAAATATTACTTTCTATTCATCTTTTCCTGTAAAATATTAACAAAATATTTTTCTGTGAGGATAAGCTTGCTTTTTAGTTTTTATCTGTTTGTTTTTGAAGTCCATCTCATCTTTATTATGACAGCGCTAAGGCACTGGATCACATTCTTATATGAGGTACAGATTCTATACCTGTGTCTTTTCTCTGGGTGTAGTGTGACTCTGTGAAACCCATTTGAAAATTTACGCATCTATGTGATGGCAAGAGGAATGAGAACAGGACCTGCACTTTCTCGTCCTCACATGGAGGGAGCTGGGGAGCTCTCTGGGGCCTCTTCTATAAGTATACTCATCCCATTCGTGGGGAGAGGGGTTTCCCACAGTCCCTGTCTCCAAGTAATACAATCACATGGGGCATTGGGATCTCAGCACGTGACAGGTAGGGGGACAGAAACATTCAGATGGAGAACTAACCAGAGTCGTTAGTCCTGTGTATGAGGAGCCGTCTGTAGAAATTGGGAAAAGAGCTTCAGAGGATGTGTACTCACTGTGACACAGGGCCCCTCTGGAACATGGGGTTAGAGAGGTGGGGAAGGGACGTTTCTTATCAAGGAAAAAAAATGAAGCCAGAAAAACCCAGTTGCCAAGTACTAGAAAATATTTGAACTTGTATTCTTCTCCTTAAGGGCCCCCAAATTCAAGTTTTACCAAAGACAAAGTAGTGACAGATGCTAAAATAACAGGCAACATTTTCTCTGGCTCTAGCTTAAAAAGTTACTATGATGGTGCTGTAGTGTATGCATCTGTGGTATATACAGCAATATGCTGTATAAAGATACAGTGATTTGTGTACAATTGATACGCTACATACACTGTATATGTTTTGCTTCATTTAGTAAGGAATATCTGAAAGATGTTTGAATATTGGGGTGAAAAAAAAAGCGTAAGGCTTGCCAGCCAAGGAGCAGGAAGACTTAGAATGGAAGATTGGAATCTGCAAAAACCTATCTTTTAGAACTGGGTCAGAAAAGTAGCCCGTCTGAGCACCTGTGCCTTTGAACGCAGTTGAAAGTATCTACCAAAAAAGTATCTTCATTGAAATGTTTGTCTTTTAGCTTGTTTCTAAACCACTTTATTGAGGCAAGATTGACAGATTTTTAATACGTACGACTCTATGAATATGAGGATAAGTATACACTTACAGAACCCTTGTGACCCGTCTTTACACAGTTTGGTTAAAGATGTCTTCAAAGTTTGTGTGAGTTAGAGAACATGTGGTTGTGTAGTGTTCCACAGATACCAGACCTCCAAGGGGCTTTGTGTTCCCAGTAAAACGATGTCAGTCTTCAGGTGGAAAGGGTGGGCCTTGGTCAGCGTCGCCACAGTGTTTCTGAAGCACCTCACGTTCTGAGTGCCATGCTCATGACGTGGGTCACATGGGTTTATTTCCCCATTCTTTTTTCTCTTTTTTTCCCCAGAGAGGAAGAAGGACTTGTTACTACCTGCAGGAAGTCAGGAACACTGGGGATTTTTCCCACAGCATGTCTCTGTATCCCCATTCTGTGCTGATCCAGATCACTTGACTGTCCTCACAGTAGAAAAGGCTCTGGGACCGGTTGTGCATGGGACTGGGACAACTCAGCCTCCCTTGTTTATTGTTTGAATTGACGTCCCATATTTCACTTGTGTACCCCCGTCACCTGCACAAGATTGCCACTTCTTCACGGGTAGGGGCGCTCTCTCTTTTTCTCTTTTCTTTGGAGTTTATGACTGGATGAGGCCCAATCATTAACTAGATTTCCACATTATTGGATATGACTCTCTACACATATAATCTACCTAAAATGAAGAGGAGATAATTCTCAGCCCTTGTGTTAGTCTGTGAGGGCTGCCATAACAGAACTCCACAGGGTGGGCAGCTCCAGTGACACACAGTGATATTTCACAGTTCTGGGGGCCAGAAGTTCCAGACCAAGGGGTCAGCAGAGGTGCTTTCCCCCGGGGTCTCCCTCTGCGCCCACCACCCCTGGTTTCTTCCTCTTACAAGAGCGAGGCAGGTCCTGATCACCTCTCTGAAGGCCCCAGCTCCAAGCTCCAAGTCCTGTCATATTCTGGGGGCGGGGGGCGTATCCTGCGTGTGCACTGGGGGGCGTGAGCTCTGGTCCAGTGCTCACGTGGTCCTGTCACCCCAGAGCCCGCTGACGTTCGGCGACGTGGCAGTGGAGTTCTCCGGGGAGGAGTGGGCCTGGCTGGACTCGGCCCAGAGGAGCCTGCACCGGAGCGTGATGCTGGAGAACTACAGGAACCTGGCCTCGCTGGGTAAGGGCCGGCCGCCGTCCCCTCACCGCCCACCCCGCCCCCTCACCGCCCGCCCCAAGGACTGACCTGTGCCTGTCTTCTTACGCATTTAGGGCTTTGCATGTCTAAGCCCGAGATGATCTCGTCGTTGGAACAAAGGAAGGAGCCCTGGGCTGTGAAGAGAAAGTCAACCGGAGGCAGGTGCCCAGGTGAGCAGGGGGGCGAGGGCTGGAGGTGGGGGGATCCCACGGCTCCCGCCCTTGGACACCTGGGACCATCACCAGGCTCCTGAACCACCCCGCCCCCAGGGAAGATGGAGGAATCGAGGCCTGGGCTTTGCACACCTCCTTTTCCCGGCCTCTCCTTTCCACCTGCGCACCCCTCCCTCCATGCGTCCCCCTGCTCCTCTCTCTGGACCTCATCTGTCGCCAGCTCCCTCTCTGACCCTCCATCACTCAGACTCACGCAGTCACCTCTGCCCTTCGTGTGGCTGATGGCGCTGTAGTTCTGTCTTATTTCCCTTTGATGAAATGACTTGCACTTAGGGTCTTCCCCTGACTGATTTTCACTGTGTCAGCTTTGAGTGAGGCTGCAGGTGCTGGCTGGGAAGTCGAGGGTGAGCCTTTAGAGAAGTCACCCTCCCGTGGGCGAGATGACACGTCTCTGTGCACAGAAATGCGGTAGAAAGGGCTGTCCCATGTGTGACAAGTGTAGATAGGGACTCAGGAGGGAGAGAAAGTCCTTCTCGGTTTCACGCCAGGAGAACAAGGCAGGAGCACAGAGCCTCAAGGAGACCGGTGAGAAGGAGAGGACAGGTCGGTAGGTCTGGAGGTGATCTGGGCTGGGCCATGATCGGTCTGGGCTTCGGGTGGACGTGTATGTGCAGAGCGCCGGGCAGGCAGGTGCCGGGGTCCAGCCCCAGCAGGATCCAGGGGAACCCTCAGGATGAACGGCGTCGGCGAGAGAGACACTTAGGACCGGCCTTGACAGGGCCAAGTGTGCGAGGGAGAGAGAGAGAGAGAAAGAGACCAGACCAGGATGTGCAGCAGAGTCTGGCAGTTGCTTTATTTTTCACCATCGCTTTTATACCCTGAGCTGGCACACTTCTACGGGGCAGATAAGCACACAGACTTAGTTTAACATTCCATCAGCTTGTCCTTCACGAAACCAGGTGTGCTCTGTATATTTTTGTTTATGAGAGTCTTTTCCCATAGATTTTTTGTACATTATCTTCTGGCCTTGAGCTTCGCAGAAAACAGAAAAGTGGCAGTTCTCACAATACAGCAGGTTGCAATTTAGTAGAAATACAATCCTGTTAACATAAAAGTCAGTCTTTTTGCAGAAATTCTCAGCTAAGTTTATCTAAAAAGTTTAACACACAAAGACTCTGTGGCTCTGGTGAGGCAGTCCCTGTTTAGCACTCTTGGTTAAAATTAACAATTATCTTATTGTTTTTACACTAGGGCTAAACTCTTTATTTTTCTAGATCTCCAACTATATTAACAATAGTTTCCACTGCACAACCTCAGCACATTAACATCAATCAAATGTTGATCTAATAACCACTTTTAAAACAATATTTTTTGTATTCTCTAATAGGGCTTCCTCACCCCCCAAAAGGGCTCTGTGCCCATTAGGGCCTTTTTTATGGTTAATCTCTATGTATAATATCTTTTGGCCTTCAGGCCTGTTGACAGTTTATGGCTTGCATCTGGTGTGACTTAAGCAACTTCAGTAGCTAACCCTGTTTTTCTTATAATTAATCTATTTTCTTTCTAATAGGCATCATCTCTATGGGAACTAGATAGGATTACATTTTTATAGAACAGAAATGCGAAGGACTGCAACAACAGCAGATATGGCACAAGATATGGCACTAAGATATGGCTCTTAGTCTAAAAGTTAATTACCTACAAGAAGTCACCAGCTAATCTCTATCTAAAAGTATTTTCTATTAGGCACATTTGTGGCTATCATATTTGTGGAGCTTTTCTTACCCCGTGAAGGGGCCTATGCTTAATAGTTTCTTTTGTTAGCGTACTGTGCTTAGGATGTTTAGAACAATCATGAGCATTTTGTGCAATGAGAGCACACATTTATCAAACAAGCCAGAATGCCAGCAAAAGGGTTTGAATTGAAGCATTTCCTTCATCCCTGGCCCCTTCATAGGGTACCAGCGTCCAGGAGATTTATTAATTAGGGTTTTAAGTTGGTCTTTATTCAGTGAAAGAGGAGCAGGAGAGCTCTCGGCAGGCAACACCAGAATCTGCAGCAGGGCAAACAAGAACAACAGCAGAAAAGCAGGGAGGATGCAGGGTGGGGTAGAGGCCGGGGCCAACCTGGAGGGTCCCTTGCCCTAGATGGCCTTGCCTGTCAGGTTTTTTCCTCGTGACCTCATCATGGATGGGGTCCCGGACGGCCTTGCCTACCCGGTATTTTCTTCATGACCTCGTCACCAGCGGGACCTCCCATGATGGCTCCCTGCAGGCAGGTGACTGGCTTTCAGGAGAGGACTCTGATCCTGATCCGATAGGACGTTCTTGCAGACGTTGTGCCAGTGTGTATACCACGGGGAGTGCAGAGATTTCAGTCACAGCATTATTTCTGGGACAGCACGTTAATCATGAGGACTCAGAAGTTCAGATTCTTCGTGGTGGGTCTAGGAATCGGAAATGACTATTGTTCCTAGAGTTGAGAATCTTGTAAGACCCCTTTGTTCAGACCGTACTTCAGAGGAAAGTTTATATCCACAGGACAGTTAACAACTGCATCGGCTCCCGTGGGTCATCATACTCCCAGGGTCATTGTACACCCAGGAGAACTGGAATGGTGTTTTGAGGGAAAGTTTTCCTCTTACCATAGAACTCAGTGGCTTTCTCTGAGCTGGTTTCCTGAGACACAACTGGTTTTTTTCCCCTTCCGTTGATGCTTTCTCTCTTGCTGAGATTCTAGTTGATTTTGAAGACTTGTCACATAAGCCAGGATCTGAACATTGGCTGGTTAGCATCATCATAATTTTTTTAAGTTTACATTATTAAAAAAGAAAAGAACAAGCAAAGAAACCTTTGCTAAATAAAATAGAAACAGATTCAAAGAGAGACTTAATAAGTGTTTACTTCTATGACCTCTGCCCACTCTTTCTCCCGGCCACATTTCATCTTAGATTTAAATCTCTGTGAACTCCCTCATCTCCTGCATTTGTATCTCTTTCTCTAGTCTCCTGCCAAAAATATAACATGTGGTACTCGCTCAACATCTCAGTGTGAAAACTCACATTGTGTGTGGTTGTTTTAAAGCCACACAAGTTTGGGATTGGAAGGCCAGCAGGTCATGTAGAAAGCTTTCAAAACGATGTGTATTTTCTGAGAATCTTTCCATCTGGTTGCATTTGGGAGAATGTCTTCATACTAACGTGTAGTAAAAGAGATACCGTCTTAAAACTATCCTTTAGACTCGCAGACTGCGCTGAAGACCCAGGAGTTGCCTTCAGAGAAGAACTTCAGTGAAGAGGCGCTGTCCCAGGAGGTGCACACGGAGAGACCCGCGGAGCGCGCCATCCTCGGGGAAGGCTGGGCTTACGCCGCTGTGTGTGAGGGGGCGCCTGTGAGTCGGGCACAAGCAGAAAACTGGCAGGAGGCAGTTTGCGGGGTTCCAGAGGCTTCCTTGGTTCAGCAGGACAGGGCTGGTGGGAGACAAAGTCTCCTTCACAAAGAAGTGCGGCTTTGGAGAGGGATCTTGTTTGTAGCAAGTGTGGGCGGGTTTCCGTTTGAATCCAGGACTTTTCACACAGAGTGTTCCCCCGCAAGAGAGAGCGCCTGCAGTCGGACACACATGGGGGGGGACACTGGGGCCCAGGGAGTCCTGAAGAGGCGTTTAAACCAGGGCCGTTGCACATGTGGGTGTGAGAGAACTTTGAGCAGGCCTCAGCCCTTCCTGTCATCAGAGATTTCGTACCAGAGGACAGCCCTCTGCAGGATTAAGTGAGCCCCATGTGTCAGGTGTGAGGAAGCCTCCAGTGAGCTCTAGAAAGTCCATGAATGTCCATCCTGTGGGCATTCACTCTCCTCCACCACGCTGCAAGTTCTCCATGGCAGAAATGGTTTTCCCGATTTTTCAGTCCTTCCCCGCCTCCCCTCAAACGTAAACAACACGACCAGCTCTGTCGTTACATGAGGGGATCACTCAGAACTAGTGAGAATTCCTGGTGTGCAGTGTCTCATGGCGTGTGGACCTGGCCACCCCCAGAGCCATCTCAGGGTCACGATCACGGCTCGATGGAAACGTGTCTGCCGTTGCAGGGCACGGTGGCCGTCACAGACGTGGCCTCAGGCGTCTCGCAGCAGCCAGACCCCGCTGCGGGGAGTTTCTGTGGGAGCGCGGTGTGGCAGCGCCGCCATCCGGGGGCAGGAGGTAAGGCCCTTTCTCTCCCAGACCCGACTCTTCAGGAGCCCCTGAGCTCGGTCCTCGCTTGTGAACTGTGTGTGTCTGGGGGGGCGGCAGGAGGAGCTGCCTTCTAAGGTGTGGGTTGAATTCTTACTCCCGCTTCTTTTGAGTGTGATGTTTGTAGAGTTGAAAGTTGGTATCTTCGCCATAGATACTCTTCACTTTTCTTCCTGGGCCTTGCTGTAGTAACACTCTTCCATCCAAGCCAGGGAGCTGGCTGTCCGTCCGAGGACGCCCAGGGTGTGACAGACCTCGTGTCTTTTCCCGTGTGCAGGACGCTGTGCGTCTGGGCCAGACCTGGTCTCTCTGCTGGAGCGCAGGAAGGCGCCCTGGACCGTGGATGGAGAGCTGGTCAGAGCCTCATCCTCAGGTGAGCCAGGTGGCTGGGCGAAGATGCCTCTGTGGGGCAAGAGGGGGTGGGGGCCGTGCTTCTTTGCCTTGTTTAGTAATTCTTGTTTCTATCCATGAACACAGGATGTCTTTCCATCTTTCTAGGTCTTCTTACTCTCATTAATCAACATTGGTACTTTTCAGTGTACAGTCTAGCACCTTTTTAGGTAATTTTATTCCTAAATAATTTATTCTTTCAGTGCTATATTTCATCGAATTATTTTCATAGTTCCTTTTCAGACTGTTCATTCCTAGTGTATGGAAATACAGCTGATTTTTTGTGTTGATCCTGTATTCTGCAGTTTTGGTGACTTGATATATTAGCCCTCATACTCTTCTTATGGATTGTGTAGGGTTTTCTATATATGAGATCATATCGTCTGCAAGTAAGTTTTATCTCTTCCTTTCTAACTTGGATGCCTTTTATTTCTATGTCTCCTCGCTCTGGCTGGAATTTCCCAGGGATCCTTGTATTGTCAGTGACCTAGGAAGAAAAGTCTTCAGTGTTTATGTGGCATTTTTAAAAAGTGCTTTTATTTTCCCTTTTTTAAGATCTTTTCCCAGACACCTGACTCTCTGCGTCATCTCTCTCCCCAATATGACTTTTATTTACATATATTTATTGCAGTATAACTGCTTGCACAATTTTTGGTTCGTGCTAAGTGATTTAGCAAAAGGATTTCAGGTATATTCACTCCTTCCTGCAAGTTTATAGTCTGAGATAAGACGTGTACTTGTTCCGGGGAATGTTAGAGGTAATTAGATATAATGTCAGCACTCACTGTTTTTATAAAAGCAGTCTCTCCAGAATGACAAATTACATCGCACGGCCCTCTCCATTAGTAAAGGGCCAGAGAGGAATCGAGGGTTTTGGCTGGCTGGTGGCAGCAAACAGGTCGATGTAAAGTGATTTTTACCTGACTGCTGGGCTCCAGCCATCAGCAGACTCTGTTTCAATTAATCAAATGAGATAAAATGGACAGAAACACCATTTCTGATTGTACAGGGCTGGCAGGTTTTCAGGCCTCCTAATGAATGCTCAGTGGTAAAGAATCCACCTGCAATGGAGAAGACGAGGGTTCCATCCCTGGGTGGGGAAGACCCCCTGGAGAAGGAAATGCAGCCCACTCCAGTAGTCAGGCCTGGAGAACCCCATGGACAGGGGAGCCTGGCGGGTGCAGTTCGTGGGGCCACGGGAGCTGGACACAGCTGAGTGACTGTGCCACAGCACCTCATGTTACAGAGACACAGACCTTCTGTGCCTGGCCTGCTCCTCGGGCTGTGCTGACTGCTGCCATGGATGCTGCACAGCAGGGAGCGGGACAGGGAGGGAGCGAGCCTGCAGGCTGGGTGCTGTGGCCGCAGAGAGCTCTCCAGCCCCAGTTGCTTCTGATGTGTAACCGGTTCCACAGATGGTTATTTCTTTAAACTTTTTCTCTTCACCTCTCCTGCGTTCCTGTATGAATCTGGTCTGGAGTCATCTTGCATACTCTGGACTGCACTTTCCAATGTTTCAGCGGTGAACGGTTTAGTGGTTTTATTAGGGTTTCATTCACTGGTGAGTTCACTTTCCCATGTTTCAGCGGTGTGCGGTTTAGTGGTTTCATTAGTGTTTCATTCTCCAGTGAGTTCACTTTCCCATGTTTCAGCGGTGCACAGTTTGGTCATTTCATTAGGGTTTGATTCACCAGTAAGTTCACTTTCCCAGGGTTCAGCGGAGCTCAGTTTAGTGGTTTCGTTAGGGTTTCATTCACCAGTGAGTTCACTTTCCCATGGTTCAGTGGTGCACAGTTTGGTCATTTCATTAGGGTTTCATTCACCAGTGAGTTCACTTTCCCTGGGTTCAGCGGAGCTCAGTTTAGTGGTTTCGTTAGGGTTTCATTCACCAGTGAGTTCACTTTCCCATGGTTCAGTGGTGCACAGTTTGGTCATTTCATTAGGGTTTGATTCACCAGTGAGTTCACTTTCCCTGAGTTCAGCGGAGCTCAGTTTAGTGGTTTCGTTAGTGTTTCATTCACCAGTGAGTTTACTTTCCCGTGATTCAGTGGTGCACGGTTTGGTCATTTCATTAGGGTTTCATTCACAGTGAGTTCACTTTCCCGTGATTCAGCGGAGCTCAGTTTAGTGGTTTCGTTAGGGTTTCATTCACCATTGAGTTCACTTTCCCGTGATTCAGCGGTGCATGGTTTGGTCATTTCATTAGGGTTTCTTTCACCAGTGAGTTCACTTTCCCTGGGTTCAGTGGAGCTCAGTTTAGTGGTTTCATTAGGGTTTCATTCACCACTGAGTTCACTTTCCCAGGGTTCAGTGGTGCACGGTTCAGTAGTTATATTAGAGTTTCATTCAACGGGAGTTTACTTTCCCGTGTTTCAGCGGTGCACGGTTTCGTGGAAGCATTAGGGTTTCATTCACCACAGCGTTCAGTCTTCAGTGTTTCCGCGGTGCATGCATTTGTGGTTTCATTAGGGTTTTATTCACCAGTGATTTCACCTTCCCGTCTTTCAGCTGTGCACTGTGTACTGTTTCCAATAGGGTTTCATTCTCCAGTAAGTTCACTTTCCCGTGTTTCAGCAGTGCACTGTTTAGTGGTTTCATTAGGGTTTCATTCACCAGTGAGTTCACTTTCCCGTGTTTCAGCGGTGCACTGTTTAGTGGTGTCATTAGGGTTTCATTCACCAGAGAGTTCACTTTCCCGTGTTTCAGCAGTGCACTCTTTTGTGCATTCATTCGGTTTCATTCTCCAGTGAGTTCATTTTCCAGTGTTTCAGCAGTGCACTGTTTAGTGGTTTCATTAGGGTTTCATTCACCAGTGAGTTCACTTTCCCGTGATTCAGCAGAGCTCAGTTTAATGGTTTCGTTAGGGTTTCATTCACCAGTGAGTTCACTTTCCCGCGATTCAGCGGTGCATGGTTTGGTCATTTCATTATGGTTTCATTCACCCGTGAGTTCACTTTCCCTGGGTTCAGCGGAGCTCAGTTTAATGGTTTCGTTAGGGTCTCATTCACCGGTGAGTTCAGTTTCCCATGGTTCAGCGGTTCACAGTTTGGTCATTTTATTAGGGTTTCATTCACCAGTGAGTTCACTTTCCCTGGGTTCAGCGGAGCTCAGTTTAGTGGTTTCATTAGGGTTTGATTCACCAGTGAGTTCACTTTCCCAGGGTTCAGTGGTGCACGGTTCAGTGGTTATTTTAGAGTTTCATTCAACGGGAGTTTACTTTCCCGTGTTTCAGCGGTGCACGGTTTCGTGGATGCATTAGGGTTTCATTCACCACAGCGTTCAGTTTTCAGTATTTCCGCGGTGCATGGATTTGTGGTTTCATTAGGGTTTTATTCACCAGTGATTTCACCTTCCCGTCTTTCAGCTGTGCACTGTGTACTGTTTCCAATAGGGTTTCATTCTCCAGTAAGTTCACTTTCCCGTGTTTCAGCGGTGCACTGTTTAGTGGTGTCATTAGAGTTTCATTCACCAGAGAGTTCACTTTCCCATGTTTCAGCAGTGCACTGTTTTGTGGTTTCATTAGGGTATCATTCTCCAGTGAGTTCACTTTCCCTTGGTTCAGCGGAGCTCAGTTTAGTGGTTTCGTTAGGGTTTCATTCACCAGTGAGTTCACTTTCCCTGGGTTCAGCGGAGCTCAGTTTAGTGGTTTCGTTACGGTCTCATTCACCAGTGAGTTCACTTTCCCATGCTTCAGTCTTGCACAGTTTGGTCATTTCATTAGGGTTTGATGCACCAGTGAGTTCACTTTCCCGTGATTCAGCGGAGCTCAGTTTAGTGGTTTCGTTAGTGTTTCATTCACCAGTGAGTTTACTTTCCCGTGATTCAGCAGTGCACGCTTTGGTCATTTCATTAGGGTTTCATTCACCAGTGAGTTCACTTTCCCGTCATTCAGCGGAGCTCAGTTTAGTGGTTTCGTTAGGGTTTCATTCAGCAGTGAGTTCAGTTTCCCGTGATTCAGCGGTGCATGGTTTGGTCATTTCATTAGGGTTTCTTTCACCAGTGAGTTCACTTTCCCTGGGTTCAGCGGAGCTAGGTTTAGTGGTTTCATTAAGGTTTCATTCACCAGTGAGTTCCCTTTCCCGTGATTCAGCGGTGCAGGCTTTGGTCATTTCATCAGGGTTGCATTCACCAGTGAGTTCACTTTCCCTGGGTTCAGCGGAGCTCAGTTTAGTGGTTTTGTTAGGGTCTCATTCACCAGTGAGTTCACTTTCCCATGGTTCAGTGGTGCACAGTTTGGTCATTTCTTTAGGGTTTGATTCACCAGTGAGTTCACTTTCCCTGGGTTCAGCGGAGCTCAGTTTAGTGGTTTCGTTAGCGTTTCATTCACCAGTGAGTTCAGTTTCCCATGGTTCAGTGGTGCACAGTTTGGTCATTTCATTAGGGTTTGATTCACCAGTGAGTTCACTTTCCCTGGGTTCAGCGGAGCTCAGTTTAGTGGTTTCGTTAGGCTTTCATTCACCAGTGAGTTCCCTTTCCCATGGTTCACTGGTGCACAGTTTGGTCAGTTCATTAGGGTTTCATTCACCAGTGAGTTCACTTTCCCTGGGTTCTGCAGAGCTCAGTTTAGTGGTTTCGTTAGTGTTTCATTCACCAGTGAATTTAATTTCCCGTGATTCAGCGGTGCACGGTTTGGTCATTTCATTAGGGTTTCATTCACCAGTGAGTTCACTTTCCCATGATTCAGCGGAGCTCAGTTTAGTGGTTTCATTAGGGTTTCATTCACCATTGAGTTCACTTTCCCGTGATTCAGCGGTGCATGGTTTGGTCATTTCATTAGGGTTTCTTTCACCAGTGAGTTCACTTTCCCTGGGTTCAGCGGAGCTCAGTTTAGTGCTTATATTAGAGTTTCATTCAACCGGAGTTTAGTTTCCCGTGTTTCAGCGGTGCAAGGTTTCGTGGATGCATTAGGGTTTCATTCACCACAGCGTTCAGTTTTCAGTGTTTCCGCGGTGCATGAATTTGTGGTTTCATTAGGGTTTTATT